AGCCAACGGCGTCACGACCACAGACATCCCTCACACCCCGCATCACCACACGTCTCCCGAACCACATGAAGCTCCTTCAATTTAACTGTAACGGGCTTCAGAGCAAGATCAAGGAGATAACCGTCTTCATGGGAAGGCATGGCATATTGATAGCTGCGGTCCAGGAGACGAAGTTGCACAGCAATTCAACACTGTTGAATTATGCCGGGTACAACGTGTACCGTCGAGATCGCGCGCGGGATAATGGTGGTGGCTTAGCGTTCATTACACAACACACCGCGCAGTATCGTCTTATCGAAGCAGACATCGACCGCAGGGATACCACCCTAGAATGTCAGGGCATTGCTATCCGGTCAGGCGATGTTGAGCTCGAAATATTTAACGTTTCACCTGCTGCCCGGCAGGATATCACCCTGACATAGGTGCGCTCCTCAGAGGTCAAAACCGTATGGTAGTAGGCGACTTTAATGCGCACCACGATCTTAGGCACTCAAGCCTGTCAAACGATCGTAGGGGAACTGACTTGGCTGAGCAGATAGACGATTCGACAGTCTGCACAATGAACGACGACGCACCCACCAGGATTATGGGCAGCTGCTGCAGCTCGCCAGACATAACAATAGTCAGCGCTGGTCTGATAAACAGCATATCATGGCGACCTATGCTGACTTTAGCATCAGACCATCTGCCCATAGTCACCTCGATCGATAAACCAAATACACATAAAGGAGAAGTATCGATCGCGAACGGACGTGTTTTTTATCGCTCTGGTTATGGTGTTAAAAAATATAACAATATTGCAAAGTGTAAAGTTAATAGTTGCATTATTGGATTAATAGTGTGAAAAATAACGATTTAAACTAATAAGCCAACCAATAAGTCGAAATAAAAATAAAATTCAAATAAGCAAAATTGACAAATAATAGCGCGCATTTAAGTTGATGTACATACATACATACGTATGCATATTCATCCAAACATAGCGGCTGCTGAGTGAGTGCGAAGATGTTGGAATGCGCGAAATGCCGAAAAGGCGTCAGAGGAGAGTCGGGTGTGCGTTGCCAAGGTGTGTGTGGGAAAGTGCATAGAACGAGCGGCTGAGAAGACTAGGATGGACCGTTCCCACGACAGCCGGTTCTACGTACCGGAATGACTCGGGTTTCACCCGACCAAGGGCTGTTGTTTCGGCGATCTAACCCCGTTTAGGTCGGCGAAGTATCTTAGAAGTTGTCCGTCCATAGGGCTACATTCACTACGTATTCTCCTACTCAGGGCTGGCATCGAGTCAAACACTGGGCCAGAAACATACACCTGCTGTGTATGCCGAAAACGATTACACCACAACTCCACCTCAGTCAAGTGTAATGCCTGCGAGGGGTGGAGTCACCTCAAGGTCTGCTCGGGACTACGGACACACAGACAGTGGACCACCGTCGTACGTGGCCCCCTGTTGCTCAAACAGAGCAGCCTCCACGGCTAACCATAGTCCGCCCGAGCAGCCCCACACACTCACACAGCAGCCACACACAGTCACCACAACACAACAACATAATAACACCACAGACCGTACCACAGCCACCACAGACCACATAACACACACAACCGCACCACCACCCACACGCCGCCGCCAACAACTCCTGGTTCCCCCTACAATCTGCACGGTATGTCAGACCAGGATATTCCGTAATGTGACATCAGTCAAGTGCAACACCTGCCTTGGCTGGTGCCACTTTAGGGCATGCTCAGGTCTGCGTACCACGCGAGATTGGACGGGGAACTTCGAGGGCCCGTGTTGCGCTGCTCGGTCGCAGGCTTCAATTGCGACGCCCCCCCCCCACCTCCACCACAGGGCGGCAATCACCTCAGCAGCAAACACAGCCAACGGCGGCAAGAACATACACTTCACTTACACCCCACATCACGACACGTCTCCCGAACCACATGAAGCTCCTTCAATTCAACTGTAACGGGCTACAGAGCAAGATTGAGGAGATAACCGTCTTCATGTGTCGGCATGGCATATTAATAGCTGCGGTCCAAGAGACGAAGTTGCACAGCAATTCAACTTTGTTGAATTGCGCCGGGTACAACGTGCACCGTCGAGATCGCGAGCGAGATAATGGTGGTGGCTTAGCGTTCATCACGCACCACACCGTGCAGTATCGTCTTATCGAAGCAGACATCGACCGCAGGGATACCACCCTAGAATGTCAGGGCATCGCTATCCGGTCAGGCGATGTCGAGCTCGAAATATTTAACATATACATACCCCCTGTCACCTGCTGCCCGGCAGGATATCACCCTGATATAGGTGCGCTCCTCAGAGGTGAAAACCGTATGGTAGTAGGTGACTTTAATGCGCACCACGATCTTTGGCACTCAAGCCTGTCAAACGATCGTAGGGGAACAGACTTGGCTGAGCAGATAGACGATTCGACATTCTGCACAATGAACGACGACGCACCCACCAGGATTATGGGTAACTGCAGTAGCTCGCCAGACATCACAATAGTCAGCGCTGGTCTGATAAACAGCATAACGTGGCGACCTATGCTGACTCTAGCATCAGACCATCTACCCATAGTCATCTCGATTGATAAACCAACCGACTTTGCCTCCGCCAAACACCGGACCTATATCAACTTTCCTAAAGCTGTTTGGAAAGGTTACGCGGAGTTTACCGAAAACACCTTCGCAGCGCTCCCCACACCAACCGACGTCCATCTCGGTGAACGTAAGTTCCGCAGGGCTATCACTGCTGCTGCAGCTCGCTTCATACCGGCAGGATGTATATCGGACCCACGTCCAAACTTCCCTGCCGAAGCGGCTGTTCTAGCCGATGAGCGTGATAGCCTTCGTCAGGCCGCTCCCGGAGATCCCCGTATCAGGGATCTCAGCGCGGAGATTTGGCAACTTGTAAACGTACATAAGCGGAAGAAGTGGGAGGAGCATCTGAAGACTTGTAATTTCACCTCTGGTGTGAGCAAGCTTTGGTCAACCGTGAGGTCATTGTCTAATCCGACGAAGCACGACGACAGAGTCGAAATTTCCTTCGGCGACCATGCCTCGTCGGACCCGGAGCGATGCGCGAGCTATTTTAGCCGGCAGTTCATACTGCATCCTCCGGTGGACAAAGCCAAGCGTCGAGTGACCAGAAGGCTGCACAAACTGCCAACAACTTATGCCCCCCTTGCTTTCACTTGCGGTGAAGTTCAGGTGGCCATCGGGAAGGCGAAAGCCTCCAAAGCCATGGGTCCCGACGGAATATGCATGCTGATGCTGAAAATTTTGGGTCCTGCGGGGGTAGCGTACCTAACGGAGGTCCTCAACCTGTCAATGGCCACTCTCATCATCCCAGACATCTGGAAGGTGGGGAGAGTGGTCCCACTGCTCAAACCGGGGAAACCTGCCAACAAAGGAGATTCGTATCGTCCGATTACACTCCTTTCCCCGGTAGCGAAGACACTCGAGGCCTTGCTACTCCCGTACTTCACAAACCACCTGACCCCAGCGAAGCATCAGCATGGTTTCCATAAAGTGCACAGTACAACAACAGCACTTAACGCCATAAACACTCAGATAACTCGTGGCCTTAACCGTAACCGTCCCTGTGAGAGAACGATTCTAGTAGCGTTGGACTTGTCAAAGGCGTTTGACACAGTCTGCCATTCCACGCTACTAGAAGATATAGAGGCCTCCTCTCTCCCACAGAGGCTCAAACGGTGGTCGGCAAATTATCTGAGTGGTCGACATTCGTCGGTAATGTTTAGAGACAAAACGAGTAAGCAGCGAAAAATAAAACAGGGGGTTCCTCAGGGTGGTGTCCTTTCCCCGCTACTGTTTAACTTTTACATTTCAAAGCTCCCTCAACCACCAGAGGGAGTCTCGATTGTCTCCTATGCCGACGATTGCTCGACCATGGCGACTGGGAATGGAATTGATGACCTGTGTTCGAAAGTAAACGGCTATCTCTCCGAACTTTCTCGCTTCTTCACTGCAAAGTGTCTAGCCCTCTCCCCTACGAAATCCTCCGCGACCCTGTTCACAACCTGGACGAAGGAGGTCAGGCTACCGCTGGGGATTCACGTCGATGACACACCAATTCCGACGGTGAATAACCCCAAAATACTCGGAGTAACATTCGACAGCCTGCTCTCCTTCTCTGCGCACTCAACCGCTATTGTCAATAAAGTACAGAGCCGCAACAAGGTCCTCAAGTCGCTAGCCGGCAGTACTTGGGGCAAAGACAAAGAAACGTTGCTGGCAACATACAAGTCAATAGGCCGGCCGGTTTTGAACTACGCAGCGCCAGTGTGGTCGCCAGGGACTAGTAGGACGCAGTGGACGAAGCTACAGACGGTACAAAATACAGCACTTAAAACAGCGACGGGATGCCTCTTGATGTCGCCTGAACACCACCTGCACGGCGAGGCGCAAATGCTCCCTGTAAGGGAGCATAATATAATGCTCTGCAAGCAGTTCCTGATCGGGAGCCACAGAAGTGGCCACCCAAGCAGACAGCTGCTTGCAGAGGAGCCCTCGCCTAGGCACGTCAGGAGGCATCTATATGAACTGACGGACGAAGTCCAGAGGTTCATTAAGCAACCTCTGGACCCGACAGCTTACAGACAGGCCCTGAACGGCATTCACAGGGACTCAGTCTCGAGTTATGTAGACTCTAGACCTGTGAATGCCGTTCTAGGCATACCACCCCCGGACTTCGACGAGACGGAGCTTCATCTGCCTCGGGAAACACGCACAACACTCGCTCAACTTCGCTCCGGCTACTGCAGCAGGTTGAACTCCTACTTGAGTAGGTTGAATCAGGATGTGCCGAATGAGCGTCCGGCATGCGGAGAGACCCCACACGACTCGAAACATCTCTTCGCATGCCCGGAAAACCCGACAACCCTAACGGCCTTGTCCCTGTGGACAAACCCCACATAAGCTGCACGCTTCCTAGGGTTGCCGTTAGTGGAACTTGACGACAACGACTGAGATACCAACCGATCTGGGCGGGGTTGTTGTAGCCGCTACAACAACAACAACAACTAGGGTGGACCTTAATAAGATCGATGCATCTGATATGAAAATTGATAGAGTGTCAAATAAGAATAACGGGGCAGTGGTTATAAACGCAAATAGCGTTTCAGATAAGGACAGAATAAAATCTGCTCTAGCAGACAACTTAAATAAAGAAGTGTACGACATCACCGAACCCAAAGTTAATACGCCTAAAATTTTGTTAGCGCACATAAACGCTGAATATTCTGAGACGGAGATAATAAATAAGATAAAAGCTCAGAATAGCTATTTAAATGATGCGAGTTTGAAATGTGTAAAAATATTTAAGTCCAGGCGCAGTGGTGAGGCATTTCCTTCATTCAGTGCAATAATAGAAATTGAGCAAAAATTCTTCCTGCAGGTATTGGAGTCAAAGAGACTTAATATTGGGTGGGATCGATGCCCCGTCTATGATGGGCAAACCGTGAGAAGATGCTACAAGTGTCTGGGCTTCAACCATAGCTCTAACAGCTGTAACAAAAAGCTTAGGTGTAGCAAATGCATGGGAGAGCACAAGTCTGAAAGTTGCACTGACAGTAGCCAAAAAGAAGTTTGTGGAAATTGTTGTGATGCTGTTAAAGAGTTAGGGCTAAACCTGGATGTAGCGCACAACGCATTTAGTCGTGAATGTCCTGTCTATATTAGGAAACTGAAACTAGAGAAACAAAGAGTAGGATGTTAGCAATTAGGTGTAATGGAAAAGCGTAACAGTTACTTAAAATGCGTGTATCTTAATATAAATAGTATAATAGCCAATAAAGCCGAGCTTGAAAGGCTTCTTGAGACTGTTGATCCGGATATAGTTTTATGCTCCGAAACATGTACAACAGAGGAAATAAACGACTCCGAAATCAAGTTTCCAACTTATCAGTTTATTAGATGCGACTCGTATAGTAGACACACTGGCGGGGTAATTGTAATTTTGAGAGACACAATAGACTTTAAAATAATAATAAATAGATCCACTGATAAAAATGTCTGGTGTATAGTGGTACAATTGAGAAATTTTGAAACCAAATGGAAAATCGGGGTAGTCTATCACTCACCCAGTTCGAGTGATGCAGATTTTCTGACATATATGGAAGCCATTTTATCCGAAACATGCGCTAACATGGTAAATACCATTATTATTGGGGATTTTAATATAAATATGAATATATCATCGAGATATAGTAGGAAACTTAATGAGATATTCTCTCAGCAGGCAATGAAACAGTTAATCAACTTTGATACCAGGGTTACTGCACAGTCCGAAACGCGCATCGACTTGTTATACTCTAACACTAATGAAGTTTCATGTGAAAAAGCTGAGGAACATAGAATAACGGATCATGAAACCATAATGTTCAAATGCAATATAAAAAAACAAGGCGAAATCAATAAACTCTCTGAATTAATTTCTTGGGATGAGTACAGCCCAGACAACCTCATAAATCTTTTGAGACAATGCCACTTTGCAAACCTGAATAGTTTCAATATTGATGATATGCTCGAACATATCAACCTTTGTTTGATTTCGAGTATGAATCAACTAACTTCTCGGGTACAAAGGCGGGTTAAACTTAGAAATAAATGGTATCATGGTGAAATAATAACAAGGTGTTGTCAGTAGCGACGTGTTTGTTGTAATTTTGACAAGATCGGCATGCTTATTTTCAGTGCTGCCGATCTTAATTTTTATAATGCTATTAGTTGGGAAATTGTATTTAAAATACTCCATTTTAGTATTTCATTTTATCGTGATTTTTAAAGAACTTCGTGTTTTCAGAACGATATTAATAATTAAAATTGCTGGATTTGTATAATTTTTGTCCTCAAAATATAAAATATAAAAGATATCGTAGTTATCAATGGAAAAAGACGTACACAAAAATCGTATGGAAAGTCGATTTTTTTATATTAAATATCTTTTGCTGCATTGTCATAATATCGAGCCAAATGGACTACTGATACACCAGAATAGAGCGGCAGCATGGTTAAATTACGACTTCGCTTATATTATCGATATTTATGTGTTTTAATCTATATGTCAGCCGCTGTGGCGTAGTGGCAAGCAGTGCGCGCTCCACTCCGCAGCACCTGGGTTCAAACCCTGGTCAAAGCAACATCGCAAAAAATATAGAAAAAAGGTTTTTTCTTAACAGCGGTCGTCCCTCGGCAGGAAATGGCCAACCTCCGAGTGTATTACTGCCATGAAAAACAGCTTCTCATAAAAATGCAATCGCCGTTGGGAGTCGGCGTAAAACTGTAGGTCCCTCCGCTTTGTGTGACAACATCAAGGCGCACGCCACAAGTCGGAGGAGAAGCTCGGCCAAACGCTAACGTATATGTAAGCGCCAATCTATTATTATTATTACTAATCTATTTAAAAAATCATTTACAGTTTTATAGGAAATTGCCTTATTTTACGGCCTGTACTTTTTTATAAGTTACAATATATGTGCAACCTGTGTGGAGCATACGATACAAACATATATTCAGGCTTATAGGCCTGTAATTAAACATTTTTCTACATTTAATTTGAAATAGTACGCATGAACGGATTAAAAGTAGTAAATAATTAGTACTTTTTCTACTACTTTAAAATGCGTGACCGGAATAGACCTGCCGAAAAAATGAGGTTAAGTTACTGACAACACCTTGTTATTATTACACCATGAAATGGTATGATAGACAACTGACTGACACTAATAAAGAAAAGTTTAGGTTACACCAAAGGGCAGTACTCACAGGTGATTGGGTAGATTACAACAAAATATAGAAAGAGTATAAGAAAATGATCAAAATTAAGAAAATTCAGTATATGGAACACAAGGTAGAAAATAATAGAGGTGATAGTCGTTTAATGTGGAAATATTTAAAGAATATTCTTAATAATACGGGTAACAGAGACAATATCAAAGAAGTTCTCATCAACGGAAAAATATACAGAAATAGTATGGTAATCGCCGAAGAACTAAACAAGTACTTTGTGGATAGTATCGTCGACATAAATAGTAATATAGAGAACGTAAATTGTGAACAGTTACGACAGGAAGACAGTCGAGGCACCTTTAAATTTGAGAAAATTACCTCAGAGGATGTTATCCTTATAGTGAAGAAATTTAAGACTAAAATTGGTGAAAATAATTTATTATCTGACGGTGTTATAAAGGATTCAGTTCAATACATGGGACACTTTTATGCCTTATTAATAAATAAGAGTCTTGAATCAGGAACAGTACCAAAAGAATGGAAAATATCGACCATAGTTCCGGTAAAAAAAGTGAAAAAAACTGTAAAAGCTGAGGAAATTAGACCAATTAAGACACTGCCTAGCATGGAAAAAATCTTGGAAAATGTGTTAAAAAATCAGTTGGCGCGCCACATTGAAAGTAATAACATACTCATTAAGGAGCAATCAGGTTTTAGAGCTAAACACTCTTGCGAGACTGCGCTAAATTTTGTTATATCCCAGTGGAAGGAAGACCTTAACTCGAAGATGAATATCGTTGCGGTTTTTATTGATCTCAAAAGAGCTTTCGAGACCATTGACAGGGCAAGAATGTTGAAAAAGCTCGAATGCATAGGTATTGAAAACACGGAGCTTAACTGGTTTCGAAGCTTTCTCTCAGATCGTATGCAACAAACTGTAATCGAGTCAAGTGTGTCAAATAAAGTGGCAGTCAGTATTGGGTTGCCGCAGGGATCGGTATTGGCCCCAGTACTTTTTAATATTTACATTAACGACATAAATATGGCACTCAAGCACTGTAAGCTAAAACTGTTCGCTGATGATACACTGTTAACGATCAGTGACAGAAACTTACAGACTGCGATGACTAAAATGCAAGAAGACTTGGATTCTTTGTACAAATGGTTGTGTTTAAATAAACTTAAGTTGAATGTAAAAAAGACACAGTTCATGATCCTCACTAGAGCAGTTAATCTTGGAACCACCAGTTACAATTTAAAAATCAAAGAGGAAGAAATTGAGGAAGTTAAACTCATTAAGTACCTGGGTATATATGTATATAGATAATAAACTTAAATTTGATGAGCATGTTGAGCATACAGTGAACAAAATTGCGAAAAAAATTGGTCTTATGAAAAGATCTTGTAAGTATCTGAGAAGAAGGTATAAAACCCTGGTCTATAGATCTATAGTAGAACCACATTTTATATATTGCCCAACAATCTTCTTCTTAGCAAGCGACGCAAATATCGAGAAATTGCAAAAAATGCAAAATAGAGCTATGAGGTTCATATTAAATAAGCGTTACGATAACCTCTCTGAACTTGGCAGGACAACTTTTTCTCAAAGCAAAAATTCC